CACTCACTAACCAACTGTTGGCATCGTGCATCGAGTGGACTCGCCACTAACAAAGGGATGACCCAGCGCAGTGAGTGCACCCATCCATAATATAAAACCACAGAAATTCTCCAGTAAGAGAATTTTGATAGACGTCATCAACCATTCAGCCCAAATGCTCCGGAGAGACCGAAAACATATTATTTTTTTCCAATAGGATATATGACACTTAATAGGCAATTCCTCTTTATTTGAGGACTGTTGCATATTATTCGGTGAACTTAAGTAAAGGAAAGTGTTAAGTGTTTCAGTACATAAGATCAAGTAAAAATATAGCCTGCCATCTTTACCAGACTCGTGCAAAGTCCGCCTCTCCTTTTACTCTGCTCCGAAGCCCCAGCTGGCCCTCTTTGGCACAAGGTATTTGGCGGGCCAAAAAGGCAGGCCCGATCAGGGCTTTTTCTCAGCGAGAAAGCCCCGCTTTGGCCCGATCATGTCCCGAAAGTGACAGTGGAAACGTGACTGGCCTTGGCCCGCCCAGCTCGCTCGCTTTAGGCGAGATAGTGGAAATGCGACAAATGGTTCAGGCTGGTGGTTGTGGTGTAATGGTGTGGGGGATATTTTCTTGTCACACTTGGGGCCCATTAGTACCAATTGAGCATCGTGTTAATGCCATAGCCTACCTAAATATTATTCCTGACCATGTCCATCCCTTTATGACCACAGTGTACCCATCTTCTGATGGCTACTTCCAGCAACATAACGCTCCATGTCATAAAGCACGAATCATCTCAGACTGGTTTTTTAAACATGACAATGAGTTCACTGTGCTCAAATGGCTTCCACAGTCACCAGAACTCAATGTAATAGAGCACCTTTGGGATGTGGTGGAACGAGAGATTTGCATTATAGATGTTCAGCCGACAAATCTGCAGAAACTCTATGATGCTATCATGTCAAAATGGAGTAAAATCTCTGAGGAATATTTCCAGTACCTTGTTGAATCTATGCCATGAATGATTAGGGCAGTTCTGAAGGCAAAAGGAGGCTCATCCTGGTGCGTATTTACCACAACCTGGTATATATATATATATATATATATATATATATATATATATATATATATATATATATATATATATATATATATATATATATATATATATAAATATGTAAACGTCAATGTTTGTAATATTTAGTTATATGTGTTGCATAAATGACATTAAAATATGAACCTTTACATCATATTAGTCATTTGAAAGCATTTCCATATGACAGATTTCTATATGGATCGTATTATTTTTCTGAGAGTAGCAATGTTTATTTCCTGTTTTGGGCATACATTATTAAAATCTTTGCCAAAGCAATGCATTTCCTGTTAGTCAAAGGCTTACACTCTATCAAAAGGCACTGGAACAAAACTCTTTGAACAACTCCCTTGTAAAAGAGAAACTAAATAATTTATTTCTTTACATGGCTTGATCTAAAAGTATATAATGTTTTTTTCATGTAGGATGTTTGTGGTCAAACTAAGAAAGTACCTAAAACCTGCCAGGAATTTTATAAGATTTTATAACTCTCCAATCGTCCATTTTATGTTTTGAAATTTCGGTTACAGTTCACTTAAGTCAGCTTTCATTTATAAATTCAATCCAGATGTTAGGTTACTTTACAACAATTTCAAAACTGTTCAAAGTAAAAAAATACTTTCTGAGGAAGAGAAATAAAGATGAATAGCTGCTGCATTAGAGAGATATGTAATATGCATGTATATCTGAAACAGTTATTCACTGTGTAATCCAATGGCAGTTTCGTTTAGGCATTATCATGTAATGGTGGCTATAATATCACCGTACCATCTCTTTCCGGCTGTATATTTTCCGATAGGGGGTGATAAAACTTTGCAATCATGGCATAACCTGACATTAAGATGAACTGATCACTAGCAGCAAACAAGAACAATAGGGACTTTCCAGCAAGACAATGTCTCAACCCAAAGATGATCTATAAATATCGCAGCACAATAAGATCATATCTAGATAATAGATAATATCTAGAGCAAAATAAGATCAAGGCAACAAACAAGGGGCTAAAGGAAAAAATCCTCCTATATTTTAATTGTAAATAATTTCTTAAAAGTACTATAGATTTAGATTTAGAATTTGGGTTTAGAATCACTAGCAGAAATCTCAGCCCAAGAAAGGAACGAATAAGTGCATATTATCCACACTATCACTCTCCGAACTAATCTTTTTTTACTATCGTTTTCCACTGGGATCCTTTCATAATCGCCTCAATTCATCATTCCAGATCACAAAATGTCCGTCAATCACAAAATGGCGCTGCCAATAAGCGCTCGGCTAGATAAACCCTGCTGACAACCTGGGCATTTCCTGAAAGTCACATGGTTACCAATTGTGCACCTTCACTGGCATCTATGATTCTGCAAACATTTAACTCATTCATAGCCAATCTCTTTCCAATGACCTTTCACAATAAAGCTGGTGAAAACTGGACATGCTAACTCAAAGCTAATTTAAAGTAAATCACTTTCCATTACAGCAAGGAGCATGTTTTCATAAGTGTATAAAAACCGATACAGAAAGATATCAGAAAGAGAAAACCACTGGTAGTGTTATTACATGGATGTCAGATTCTCGCTTGTCTTGTTGGCTGGGACAAACAGCATGATAAAGGAACAGCCACACACCAAGCCAAACATAATGTTGTATAAGTAAAACCACAACAGAAACTTTTACGGTGAAACTGGGTCAACTTGTTTGGTGGCTCCACAGACCAAAATAAAATGTGTCAAAGCTAAAAAGCAGCTTGTATAAAAACAGTTTGTCCTCATCGAAATCTAACATTTTGTTTGCATCTAGATTTTAGCATTTAGATTTATACCAATGTGCATATATTTGTGATTTTTAAGTAAAGGTCATGATAGTTTTATGGGCATAGTTAGGTTTAGTGATGGCAATAAATATTTTTTTTAAGAAGTCTTTCTAAAAGTAAAGGATCTTTAGAGTTACTTTAAGTTAAAATGATGCACAAAACATTCATATATCATGTTATTTAAAATTATTTTAACATTATAAAGATGTTTTTTGACAAACATGTTTTAATAACTAACATTTACCTATATTTTTGTGTGTATGTGTGGTGTGTGATTTGCATCAACAGAATGTATTCAAAGCAGATTAGTAAAAAAAGAAAAGAAAGCATTTGCTGCCAGGCAGAGAGCCAGCAAACCAGACTGGCAGCTTTGGCGTTTCAAAGAAATCACGTGATTTCATAAACCAACTGTGCACCACCACATTTGTTCTGCAAGCATTTCATTTTTACTGCCTCTGAATAGTATTCCCTTTTTAACTGATTCAAAACAGTTCCATACAGGCCTGTAGCCTGTGTAGTAGTAGTTTTTGAACATGATGTTGTTTTTTCTCAAAAAGTGGAGCTTTTTGCAATTGTTCTCCTCAATTTCTATTAAATTATAAGGTTCAAATCTTGCATTTCAGTGACATTTTAAGCACTAATCTTTGCTGCATTAGCTTGTCGGATGGTGACCATAACAGAACTTTTTGATGCAACAAAAAAATTACTATACTTTTTTCCCCGAAGTATTTGTTTAGAAATGTGGATTTAAACTATAGGTTTTTAGTTTTATAAATAATGTTATGAGATCAAAAGTTTTGAATAAGGAAAAATGAAAAAACACTTCTTTTTAAAATGCAAATTGATTATCATGGATCATTGAAGAAAACCAAGTAATCCGTTAAAACTTATTAAAGACCAACTAAAAACATATTAGTCGCCTGTAGGTCAATAACAAACTGGCCAGCTCATTTCCTTAATCAGAATTTGTACATTTGAAAAGTAAAAAATTAAAATTGTCTTAATGTCTTCTTCAATCAGTTATTTTCACAATTTATGAGGGCATGCTATCAAGAATTTGACAAATTAGCTCACATAAGGGCCAAATTCTGACAGAACAGACATTCATGACAAAGTAATGATGAAACTTCAATCTAAAACATGATAATAGTTAATTATTAAAATCAGTCACAAACAGATTTGTAGCAATCCAATATTTATTAATGTTTCACAATATTCTCAAATTACAACCTCAAACGGGTTTAAAGTGGTACTTTTTTGATGTTTTGTTGTAAAAAAAAACAATACAGAGAACTGAAAAGTGAAAAATAATTAAATATTAAGAGTATCACAATCCCCATTTGCAGTAGTGGACAGTAATGAAGTACTTTTATTTCACTAATGTAACTAAAACATTCATTTTCTTGTCTGCTTAGACCCTTTATTAATCCGGGTCGCCACAGCGGAATGAACCGCCAACTTATCCAGCACATTTTTATAAAGTGGATGCCCTTCCAGCCGCAACCCATCTCTGGGAAATGTAACTACATTCTTCAAGTGAAAATACTTTATTAGAGTATTTTATCTAGGGGAAACATTTACCTACACTGAATGTACAACTGCATACATTTCCCATACTTATAAATGTTTTTTTTTTAAATATCCATTGCCTTCTCCAACTACTGTATGTATGCCAAAAGGGTGTCAAGTTAGCTATATGATATAGCACAGAGTTGATATCTGGATAATGAAATAATTTATTTCATAAATTAATATTTTTTTTCTAATTCAGTTGCATTTAAACTTCCTCGTCACTGAAGCACACAGCATATATATATATATATATATATATATATATATATATATATATATATATATATATATATATATATATATATATATATATATATATATATATATATATAACGTTTTGCTCTCTGAAAACTGTTTTATATTGTATAAAACATTTTCTTGTAAAATAAACATTGCTTACTCCTAAATACAACAATAATAAACAAGTACTTTTGTCCTTTCACTCAATTCAAACAGAAAATAACTACTTTACAATTTTACTGAAGTGGCATTTTGTTATACTTCAACCTCCACTGCCCTCTTGTATGTTGCTATTTACAGCATTTCAGCATGGCCTACTGCGTTTTTACGGTATCAGATTTCTCTTTCTCTTGTTTTGTTGTTTTATCATCACTAAAGAGCCTCTCTCTCAGCTTATAGTAGCTTCCCTTCTTTTCCATCAGTTCCTCATGTGTGCCCTTCTCCACCAGCTCCCCACTGTCAATCACAACAATCTGATCCGCCCTCTCAATGGTTTTCAGCCTATGAGCAATCACTAGCAGTGTCTGCGTGGGGCAGCAGGACAAGGCCTGTTGAACCTGTGAAATAATAAATAAATAAAAATATCAGTCAGTGCCAATAGCCTAGTGGTTAGTGTGTTGTAACATCCCACATAGCAAAATTTCTCTGGACCAGCTCTGGTCCACACAATCAGGTTTTGCTTGGCCCACATGCCGCAGTGAATTACGGTACATGACTGGACCAAATCTGGCTTCCAGACAAGGGCCAAACATGGACCATATCTGGGCCAAGTCTCAGCCAAGTTAATAACTCATAACTGGGCCTGAACTGGGCCAGATAGGTTGGTGTGTCACGATTGCAATGAAATTGATAAACCCATGGAGTGATGCGCTTTAGGCACACTATGGGCACGCTTTTTCTCAAAGTGACCTGATTGGTAGAATTTTTTTTCTTTACTCAAAAATGATTTTAGTGTATTTTAAATGTGGGTCAAGACTGGCCAAACTCACATGGCCCACTTATCAAATTTTTAAATCTGGGCCAAATACTACGTTTTTCATCTGGCCCAAATCTTGTGTGCCGCCTTAAAGACGGTGCCACCTCTGCCAAACCCGGGCCATGTTTGGCCCACATGCTGTATGCCAGTGCCGGATGAATGCCTGCTGTGCCAACTTTATGCCAATTCTGGGCCAGAATTCTTTGCTACTAGGGATGGCACTGAGGTGCTTACGGCGACCTGAGTTTGATTCCCAGCTCAAGGTCTATGTAAAGGCATATGTCAATGTGATTATACTGAAAAGCTGTAGTTTACCATTTGTTCACTTTCAGTGTCCAAAGAGCTGGTCACTTCATCCAGTATGAGCACCTGAGGTTCTCTGATCAGAGCTCTGGCAATTGCGATGCGCTGCTTTTCACCTCCTGAGAGTAGATTACCACGCTCTCCAACATCTGACAAAACAAAACCAGATTTTAGTACTGTAGAGGAAAAATCAAAAAATTTTTTGACAAATAATAAATGAGTGACTACAAAAACAGAGTAGAAAACCATCCAGAAACCATATCAGGAATTCTAGAATCAGTGTTCCCATGCTTCTTAAAAGTACTTAAATTTAAGGCCTGTGAAGTACTTAAAAACAAACATAGGTCCTTGAAAGTCCTTGAATTTAATGTTTATGGTCTTTTCAAGAGTTCAGACTTAGCTGATGATTGATAATAAAGCTTGTTTGATATGCTGTCCCTGGAGAGAGCCATGAGCTTATGAGATCCTTGAGCCTTGGGCTCCCTCTCGTTTGCAGGGCGAGAGGGGAGTTCTTTAAGACAAAGATATTGAGATAAGAAAACTCTGTTAATTTATAGTGTGTTAGGAATTTTCTGATTGGAGAATCATGAGCGGATGTGGGAGCAGCTAAGAACAATCATGAGCATGTGATCCTCTAGAAATTAGTTAATAAATAAACTTCCCATTTCAAAAATTGTACTGTGCTTCCTAAAACTAAACAAATAAACTGAGAAATTCCTAATTTAAAAATCTTACATTTAAGTCTTGTACATGAACTATGACAGATAATGCATTTTATCAATATTTCTGAATCTTTATAACATTTTTCAAAATGACACATTCAAAACATCATCCTTAATATGACATTTTAATGTAAATATTAAGTGTAAGTGAAATGTTAAGTACAGGGAGGACTTTCATGGCGCTATATATGTGCTGGGGGTGTGAATTAAGGTGCTTGATTTAAAATGATTAGTGATTTTAAAAGTCGTTAAAAGACTTTGGTGTCCATGAAAGAGTGGGAACCCTGTAAAATGACTTTAAGTTGCGTTCACACCTTCGCCGTTTAATTTGCTTATTTCGCACTATAGAGTTTTCTTTTAGTTTGTTTGGGCAGGTATACTGATGTATGCATCAAAAGTAGACCAAACTAGCACACCTGTTTGAAGAGGTGGTCTGAGTACTTTTTTTAAACAAACACTGGAGTGGTTGGTTTGTCGTGAAAAAAAGATCTGAACCTAAACAGACCCAACTGCAAAAGGAACTGCGCATTTTAGGACTAAACCTGATGCTGTAATAAACTGCATTGTGTAGGATATGATGAGGGGATTTATTTGGGGAAATTTCCTTTCCATTTCCTTAGTCCCTTATTTATCGGGGGTCACCACAGTGGAATGAACTACCAACTATTCCATATGTTTTTACCTAATGGATGCCCTTCCAGCTGCAACCCAGTACAGGGAAACCCCCATACACTCTCCCTTTCACACACACACTCATCCACTACAGCCAATTTTTGTTTTACCCATTTCACCTATAAGGTGCGCCCGGAGGAAACTCATGCGAACACAGGGAGAACATGCAAACTCCACACAGAAATGCCAACTGACCCAGCCGGGGCTCGAACCAGTGACCTTCTTGTTGTGTGATGACAGTGCTAACACTGTAAACTGAACTACTGCGCCACTCTTATGAGAAACTATACTCTGGATTTTTAAAAAACAAGATTCTTGATGAGTGAAGACAAAATTTTTCAATGAATAATGCATTAATTTAAATTACCTGTGTCATATCCCTTTTCCAGTTTGGAGATGAAGGCATGGGCATTGGCTTTGCTTGCAGCCTCCTTCACTCTTTCCATTGAGCAGCCTTGGAGACCATAGCCAATGTTGTCTCGTACTGTACCAGAGAAAAGGACAGGCTCCTGACCCACCATCGCTACCTGAGAGAGATTTATTTGCAGATCCATTAATTGATTGGTATATATATATATGTATTTTTAAAGTAGACTTATAGATAGTGAATGATTTACAGTGCAGTAGTCTTTTGGGTGTAGTTTTGGGTGTATGGCCATACACAATAAAAGCACTATATAAATACACACATTACATTTACATTACATTACAGTAGTGGCATATTTTCATATTAGTCACCTTGCTGTGCAGATATTTGTGTTGGTAGTCCTGCAGTGGTTTTCCATCTAACAGAATGGTTCCCTGCTGCGGCTGGTAGAATCTCTCCAGCAGACTCACACAGGTGCTCTTCCCTCCACCGGACATTCCCACCAGAGCCGTCATCTGACCCGGCTTCAACTCCAGAGAGAAGTCCTGGAAATGTGAATGGTTATGGTAAGTTATTCAAAATTATTATCTTAAAACGTTATATATTAAACAGATTATGTATAGTTCATGATATATATATATATATATATATATATATATATATATATATATATATATATATATATATATATATATATATATATATATATATATATATATATATATATATATAAATATATATAGGGGTTGGACAATGAAACTGAAACGCCTGGTTTTAGACCACAATAATTGATCCGTATGGTGTGGATTGACCTATGGCCAATACAGCATCATTGTCTTGGCAATGACAGATCCAAGTCCTGCACTGTGGGCAGAGGGATTTTCAACCATTTTTCATGCAGAATAGTGGCCAGGTCACGATGTGATGCTGGTGGAGGAAAACTTTTTTTGACTCACTCCTATAAAGCACCTCAAAGTGGCTCAATTTTATATGGATCTGGTGACTGTGCAGGCCATGGGAGATTTTCAGCTTCACTTTTATGTTCATTTGACCACTCTGTCATCAGTCTTGTTGTGTGTATTGGTGCATGATTATCCCGATACACAACATTTAGGATACAATGTTTGAACCATTGGGTTTACATGGTCCTCCAGAATGGTTCGGTAGTCTTTGGCTGTGACGCGCCCATCTAGCACAAAAATTGGGCCAAGGGAATGCAATGATATTGCAACCCTAACCGTCACTGATCCACCTCCTTCCCTTTGGGCATGTAACAGTCTGGGTCATACGCTTTTTGGGGCTTCTCCACACTGTAACTCTCCCAGATGGGGGAAAGTAAGCAAAGGTGGACTCATCAGAGAACAATACATGTTTTATATTGTCCATAGCCCAATATTTTCGCTGCTGGCACCTTTGAAACCTATGTTTGGCATTAGCATGAGTGAACAAAGGTTTGACTATAGCAGCTCGGCCATGTAAATTGACCCAACATTTTGGTGGAAACAAGAGAGTTGCGGTGCACATTTAATTCTGCAATGAATTGGGCAGCTGTAGTTTTTTTTTTTTTATACAATCCTCTTGCATCCAGAGTTACTCCTGTTGGATGTGGTTCGTCCTTCTTGGTAGTTTGCTAATATTAGTCTGGATACCGTAGATCTTGATACATCACAAAGACTTGCTGTCTTGGTCAATGATGAGCCAGCAAGACATGCACCAACAATTTGTTGTGTGAATTGCAAAATTAAGCAAAACTGTGCCGTCACTCTGCTAATTAAACCGTTACACTCTCCTCTTACTAATGGAATGTGCAATCAAAATGCCACTGGGCTCTTAAAAAAACTTAAACTTAAACTGCCATACTCTTAAAAAAAGAATATATTTTTAAACATAATTACTATTCACTCGCCCTCATACAGTTTTAAACATTTATGCGTTTCTTTCTTCTGTTAAACACAAAAAAGCTATTATTATGGAAAATTCCCAGCAACCAGAATTTTGCATACATCATTTTTTTGTGTTCAACAGAAGAAAGAAACTCAAACAGGTTTTAAACAAGTTAAGGGTGAGAAATTGATGACAGTATTTTCATTTTTGGGTGAACTGCCCCTTTTAATGTGAATTGCATTTTAATATTTGACATGCATCAAGTAATGTGATTCGTCAGTAAACACTACCTTTAACACATTGTGGTCGGGTCTTCTGGGATACGAGAAGGTGAGATTCTGAAACTTGACGTGTCCTTTCAGATCTTTTGGCATCAGATTTCCATCAATACTGACTTCAGACTTTCGGTCCTGGTACTCAAACACCTTACCAGCAGCCCCTACTGAATTCAGCATGTCTCCAAAGATGTAGATCAAAGTCTGGGAATAGAGATGGACACATTTTTATCATGCTGAAAATGGTTTTGTTAATGCTGTGAATAGGGTCATTCAACTTTACTTGACCCTTTTATTAAGCAACCTTTTTTTAAAGTAACCAGACTTACTCTAATGTTGTCTCCAAGGTCTTGCTGATACAGAATGAAAGAAACCAGATTCCCAGTGCTCATCTGTCCATACTGGATGAACAGTCTCCCATAGTAAAGCATGGCCACCTTCATTCCCAATTCTGTCATCTGCAAACATCCCAAATATCAAGAAGATATAATCAATATCAAAGCAATATAATATCAAAAGTTTCCTTCAGAGAAAATAAACAAATACTGACCCTCCTAATTAGCAGGTAAATCGCCCTGACTGTGTCCCGTCGGGTCTTTAGATTGTGAGTTTCCATCAAACGGCCATCATAGCGATGGGCTTCACCAAGTTCTGTCTTGAAACTCTTTACTGTCCTGATCCCTGAAACTGCCTCCCCAGCAGCATCATTAGCTTGTGCCATGGAGTCCTGAACTTCTTTTGAGAGCTTCTAAAGAATGCATAAATAAATAAATAAATAAATAAATAAATAAATAAATAAATAAATAAATATAGGGTATACTCATATGTGCATAAATAATTTTCCATCATCCTTCACGTTTTTATCTGCACGTTACCTGATAGTGTGTGTCATATATGTTCTGCAGTAAGCCTGTCAGTGGCGTCTCCATCAGCATCAGTAGTGTAAGCTTCCAGGAGAGGCTCACCATCAGATACAGCATTCCTAATGTCTTTACAAGTGTCCGCAGAAGAACGTTGACATTCAGGGCTACAGCCCGGCCCATCAGAGTAGTGTCTGTAGACAGTCTAGATGTGATATCACCTGAAAGACAGATTAAGTAGAAATAAAATGAAAATTACAATGCTTCTTATTGAAGTGTGCAACAAGAGAACTGGTGTATATATGCACGTGCAGTTGGTGTATATTTACCTGTCTTGATGGTCTCAAAGAAGCCAATGTCCTGCCTGATCAGAGATCCAAACAGTTGCACCTTGACTCTGCAAGTGAAGCTATTGATTGCACACATGAACAGGCCTCCGCGACAACCTGCACTGAAAGAGCTGAGAGTAACAAAAAACAGCATTACTTTAGATATTATATAGGGTTTTTGTAATACATATATTTTTTAATACCAACCTTCCTAATGAGAATAATCCCATGAAAATGATAGCTGATCTAAAGTTATCCCACTGGTAATGGGAACCCAAGATGTCAATCACCTCTCCTGTGTAAAGTGGGATGAACATTTCACCTGGAAAACATAACAAGAGCTTTAAAAGCAGGTTTATATGATAGTTTTAGTGTTGAACATAAAGCTAATACTCACATAGCACAGCTAGGGCCAGAAACACAAAAGCTCCAAATAATAATATATAATCTGGCCTGTATAAACGGATGACCCGGATGAAGAGGACTCGAGCCTTCTGTTTGCGCTCTTTACCGTTACTCCCTTCATTTGTGTCAGGCAGTGTTATCTCCCAAAAGAGACACGCTAAAGCCGCAGCAACTGTACCGACAAGCCACACAGTGAATTTATCAAGACGGTAGTTGTTAAACATCGCTAAGCGTCCGGTTTCGTATACCGAACCGATAAAACAGTGGACAGTAATCCATCTTCTTATCAAAGGATCTGCCGCATCTTTAGATAAAGTAGACCCCGCGTACAGCAGCGTGCATCGCAATCCAGATTCAGCCCATTGGCGAAACAGATTATAGTCCAAACTGCTTGTTGGAGACTTGAGCAAAGTTTCTGCGAGGTCCAGTATCAAAACTATTAAGATGTCAAAACATAACATACACGCGAACACCAAAACCTTCCGCATGGTGCGTGCGTAAACTGGTTGCCGTGGTAACACCGAAACGCTATTGGAAAAAATATATCTCCAAATAAACGACCTTCTTCGGTTATTATTTTCTTCGTTTTGCCCCGTCCTACAGATTGCTGGTGTGTGTTTTCGTTACGCAGCGCCAGGGCATTTCAGGACACTGAAATGACCTTACTTTCACTTTCAGTTTCTCAGGGTAAGGGATTTTCCTGCTTTATAGGCTACAGCACACACAGCAGCGCTTTGCGTTTGGATTTCGATGGAGAGCTTTGTTATGTTGACCAATTTTCTAAATCAAATTAATGCCATAGCATTTTATACATGTGAAATTACGTTCAAACTGAGCAAATGGATATAAATAAGGAAGACCGGGAAAGTATCGTTTTTCCAAAAAAAAAAAAAACATTTTAAAAGATAATGCTTTAAATGTTGTTGCTGTCGTTACTAACTCGTGAGAGTGGTTTATTAATACTAGGTGGTGTGTTGTAGTCTACAAATTGCACTTTAAACACAAATGGTAGGCTACCCTGTCAGCAGGGACAAAAACAACCGTTACGTTGTCTCAGCAGGAGCTCTTGCCATTTATACCCGATTTACTTTTAAACGGAGTAAAAACTCAAGTAATGCAAACTTAGGGACATGTTATAACACCAAATAACCTGTAGATTGATCATTACTTTGACACACAAAAAGAGTAACATCGACTTCTGTTGGAAATATTTCTTCGTTTCTATAACATCATTTTTATTTATAGGAATGAGATTGACTTTCTGCACTGAAAAACAATGATTATTTAAGTGACTGTATGTTATTGTAAGTGTACAGGCATCGAATGTTTCCCTTTTCAGAGCACCCATAACAAGAAACATGCCTTGTTAATTTCTGCCTAGCAACTGATGAGTAATGTACACTCACTGGCCACTTCATTAGGTACACCTTACTAGTACCAGGTTGGACCCTATTTTTCTTCAGAACTGCCTCAATACTTCATGGCATAGATTCAACATAGTAGAGATTTTGGTCCATATTGATATGATAGCATCATACAGTTGCTACAAATTTGTCGGTTGCACATCCATGATGCGAGTCGCAGCAGAAATCAAGACTCACCAGGCAATGTTTTTCCAATCTTCTATTGTCAAATTTTGGTGAGCCTGTGCGAATAGCAGCCTTTTTCCTGTTCCTAGCTGACAGGAGAGGCGCCCGGTGTAGTCTTCTGCTATTGTAGCCTATCCACATCAAGGTTGGATGTTTTGTGCATTCAGAGATGCTCTTCTGCATATCTAAGTTGTACCGAGTGGTTATTTGAGTTACTGTTGCCTTTCTATCACCTGGAACCAGTCTGGCTATTCTTCTCTGACCTCAGGCATCAAGACATTTGCGCCCAAAGAACTGCCACTCACTGGATGTTTTCTCTTTTTCAGACCCTTCTCTGTAAATCCTATAGATGGTTGTGCGTGAAAACCCCAGTAGATCAGCAGTTTCTGAAATAGTCAGACCAGCCTGTCTGGCGCCAACCATGATACGTTCAAAGTCACTTAATTCATCTTTCCTCCCCATTCTGGTGCTCAGTTTGAACTGCAGCAGATCGTCCAGACCAAGTCTACATGCCTAAGTAAATTGAGTTGCTGCCATGTGATTGGCTGATTAGAAATTTGCATTAACGAGCAGTTGGATAAGTGTACCTAATAAAGTGACCACTAGACGTATATAGATATCACCTTTTTGAAAAAGTACATTTTACAAGTGTGTAGATTGATTGCATATATGCTACAGCTACAGTCCACCCTTTTCACATCTGAACTTTACCTGATTTTGATTGTAATATAATAAGATTTTGTAAAGCTGCTTTTGGAACAATTATTGTGAGAAGCGCTATACAGTTAAACTTGAATTTAATAAAATACAATGAATAGCTACACAGAGGTCTTCTATATTTTGACAGGTCCATGAGTATAATGCATTATTGCTACAGTATAATGTTTGTCAAAAATATTTTTCACAATGAAACAACTTAAACCATGTAATTTTCTATAATAGTTTATTATCAAACTTTAAGACAAAGTGAACACAGCTCTTCACATAAGAATGTGTGTCTTTATGTTGTAATAGCAGAAAAACTACTTTAACTGCAATGTCATGCAGTACAATATCCTGATAGAAATGTTGGTATTTGTACATTGTTCTTCATTTTAAATCAAATTCACTTTTTTCATTCATCAAAAAATTTGGGCAATTCATTTCCTAAAACGCACTTCTCTTCTGTTCCATCTTTGTCAATAGTAACAACATACGCAACACCTCCACTGGAGCCATCCCGGCCCATCGCCAGAGTGAGAGCTGGTGAAAGAAGAGATTACAGTTCACATGTAAAAGCATCACAATTTTCACACTAGACACCTTGGATTGTTCTGAATACATACATCTCTTTTCTAAATAACAAATCACTGGTTTGTATTATATAGACAAACTTACCATTCACTACAAACTCCTGGCATTCCCTCTTTGTCATGTTCTTTTTATACTCTGCATCAACAAACCCATTAATGTAAAAACTCCCAGAGCCACCAATAGCAAAAGGCTGCTTGGTGAGCAAACCACTCAATGTTGCGTAGACCTGTTCGAAATGAAGAAGCAATTACCACATATTCAAATATATTATTTATAATATAATTCAGTACATATGATCTGATATCTCAGACCATAAAACCAAAACTGATCTAACCTGTCCACCTCCTTTCTTGTCCCAGCCTGCAACAATGAGATGTGCTGACAGCTCCTCTTTATATTTGTATGAAATATTCTTCACCAGAGTAGCAGCAGAGCATACGAGGGGGTCATCTTCCACCTCAATACTGTCAAGACACATTATTTGGCACATTTATAAGATGTCTATGACAATATTGCTGTTGTCATTGTGTCGATTATTGAGTACAAGGCCTAATTTTACTGACAGAAAGAAATTACTAGTGATAAATACCTGTGCACATCCAGTTGGTAGTTAACTATCTCAGCAATAGTTTGAGCGTCCGCTGCTGATCCAGAGAGAGCACAGTAGATCTTGTCATGGAGGGGGGAGAGCTTGTTCATCACACGATTCACCACTGACTCCCTAAGAACAATATCCAGAGAAACAGTATTTTAATATAATTGGTAAATCCTATTTCAAACATTCACTGAATTAATGACTATATGACTGAAAATAAAGTGAATAAAGTAATGTAATATCAATGCAATTTTAAATTTAAAAAAACCCTAAAGCCTCTGTTATTCTGGCGTTTTAGACTTGCATTGGAAGGATTTGCATGGCCTGATTATTTAAGAATAAAATGTAATGTGCTAAACCTTCACATTAACTATCGCACAAGGTTCTCTTACCCCGCCGACACACGTGAATCCGAGCCGATAACAACACCACCGTCAAAGGTTACAGCGATGATGGTCGTCTAAAATGAAGATGAAAATCACAGAATCGCATTCACGTCAAAAACAACCTTACTTGGCGCTTAATGTTATTAGATTATAGCTTTCAGATGCATCTTACAATCATTTCTCAAACAACGTTAACTTACTTATATTTGGCACTCAGTCGGCTTAAATTAGAGTTTATGTTCATATAGCTGGAAATAAACGAGCACGAGGCTGAAACTCACCCCGGTTTTGACTTCTTCAGACAACCATCCCGGTTCTGGAAATAATTCCTCCGACATTTTGAGCGGATGGAAAGCAGCTACCTGTCTGTGCAAACCTGCCTGCTCTGAGTCTTAACACCAGAAGAGACGCGAAACTCAATAGCTCTGCACACCTCAAACGAAGCTCCAAACAGCGAATGAAAATGAATCAAACTGCCAAACGAGACTTTGTTTTGATCTCCTTAAGCTTTTGCCTACATTATTCCTCCATTTTATGTCAATAACAGAAAGTGAAAGAAGTTACTTCCTATCAGTCGCAGCTAACACACTGAATTCTGCCTATGTTAAATTAGCCTAGCGGCTAGCCAACGTCAAAACACTTGGAAAACTTCAATGCCAGTTTAATTGATGTATTTTTATATGCGTTCACTGTTGGTCTATATAATATAATTTAGCCTATAATTGATTAATTCCCCTGGACCCTATGTACTTTTTTCACATTTCTTGTTCATATTGTATTGGCTGCACAGTAATTTAATAAACATATATAAAAAAAAGTAAATCAATGGAAAATGTATCAATACAAATGCACACTTTTGTACAATTGAAAAAATAATTAGTGGAAAAAACACATGATGAAGTATGCAATATTATTCATGCTGGGAAGAGGTTTGTCAAAATATAAACTTTTGTTTTATTTTACACCCTTAAAATTTATTTAGACATTATTTGTTTTCAGAACTGGAATCATTGTAAATATCACATACAATTTAGGAGTTTAATAACTACACAAATTGAATATAAATATAGAAAAGACCACATGTAACGCACAGTACTTGATTGGAAAAAAATCTGTTAAGCTGTATACAAAATCAGTTTTTAGATTCATAGTTGATGTAAGACTGAAAGACATGATGTAGTTCAGTTTATGCAATTCTTTCTGTAACTACATTAAATATTCTAAGATGTCACGGTGGTGCAGTGGTGACACGATCGCATTACAGCAAGAAGGTCGCTGATTCGAGCCCCGGCTGGGTCAGTTGGCATTTCTGTGTGTAGTTTGCATGTTCTCCCCATGTTGGCGTGGGTTCCCTCCTGGTGCTCCAGTTTCCCCCATGCTATAGGTGAATTGGCCATAGTGTATGTGTGTGAATGCAAAAGTTTATGAGTGTTTTCCACAAAACATATGCTGGATAGGTTGGCGGTTCATTCTGCTGTGGCGACCCCTGATTAATAAAGGGATTAAGCCGAAAAGAAAATTAATGAAGATAAACATCCTATGCATTTAATGTAAGAAGGGAAATCACACTGAACAACATACGACTTAAATGTATTTATTATGAATGACAAAGTGTGGGGAAAATAAACCCAGGCAAAAATCTGCACACAGCTAATCACAAAGTAGTGATATTTGTAAAAGTGTCCAATTTGTTCTGCTCTATTATTCATCATGGAACTTTGGCAGTTCATCCCCTGGAACAACTATATGCTTGACTCCAGCTTCAGTGATCACAACCAGATGAACAACACCACCACTGACATTGTCCCGACCCATAGCCAGAGCCAAAGCTGCGAAGATACAAGCATAAACCATTAGCAGTTGCATATTTAGTAAACGCATATTTAGAGAACATATAAATGTCAACCATGTATATAGAAATTTTATGCACCATTTGTGGAAAACTGTGTAGCCTCTTCTAAAGTCATGTCAGGTTTGAATTTGGCATCCACATAACCATAGATGTACGTGCTGCCAGATCCACCGATGGTGAAAGGCTGACTGAGAAGCATTCCTCCCAAAGACACTACGTATATCTGTGCAAAATATTAACAAAAGAGAATGTTAATCATCTGCATAAAAATAGAACAATTTAGTTATGATGAACAACAATAGGCTTTGTTTTGGTTTATGTTCTCATTGTATTACGCACCACAGTTTTTCCATTCCAGCCAACACATTTTAAAGCTAAAATGCAATGTCTGTAATTATATTCTTCATTAGAAGTCAAGATGATTCTAGGGTCCTACATCGAAATTGGTTTCATTAGTTAGTAACAGTGTTAGTAGTAATGCAATATAAAGTGTAAATGAGTTATAACAAAGAGTTATAAATAAAACTAAATTTCTGTCAAAATTATCCCTATCTATTCACTTCATAGTTGCGTCCTGTCCTGCGTAGAGTCATTAGGTGTGTTGGACCTGGAAGTGCTATTGATCAATCAGTGAAATTTGCTGCTTACAGTCAGGGAAAAGTAGAAAGCAGAGTATTAACGGGTTTGTGTTATCACAGATTAAGTAGATTACATGAAATATTAGATTGCAAAATAGACTCTTGCTGCGTACGAAACCGCATACTTCTATTCTATATAGTACGCTAAAATCAGTATGTGAGCCGAGTAGCATGTCCGAATTCCTAGAATTCTAAAAACAGTATGCGAGAAGTACCCGGATGACTTACTACTTCCGGCGAGATTCTGGAGTGCGCATCCCATGCATGCTGCGCTATCCCATGATGCCCCGCGAGCGAATTCATGAATGTGAGTAAAGTGACGCAAATTCCGCAGGTACGTCACGTGACTATGTCATAATGGGGGATGTAGTACTTCATACTTTTCACATTCATACTGTATAGAACATACTTTTCTAACGGTCGAGTAGTAAGTTTAAATTCAAATGTAGTACCTACTGAGTAGTAGGCAGTTTCGGATGCAGCCACAGTGATTACTGTACTGTATTTTTCAGGCTCACTACAGCCTCTGACTAAATACTAAAGTGGTCAAATGTAAAAGTAACAGGTCAGAATTAATAAACCGCAGTCAAAGATTTTTAATGGTTAGGTTGGCTTGTATGTTGGATGTAGAATGGTGGTGGGCCTACCCTCATATTCTTTCAATGGATCCAAAATTGCTAACAACACCTTTATCGTGATTGTGTATTTTTGTAAAGCATCACCTGTGGTCCTTTTTTTCTGTCCCAGCCTGCTGTGATGAAGCCTGCCCGCAGCTCTTCCTTATTGCTATAGCAAAGTTCCCGCATAATGGATGCTGCAGCTTTAACCAAAGGAGGAGATTCCATCTGAATACTAAAGAAAGAGAGAATTTACAATTGCAGATGGCTCCTATTTTTACTTGTTATTAAAATACTTTAGGATATAAAGTAAAAAAATTAAATTACCTGTGAAAAGACAGCTGGAATTTGGCCATTTTGGTCACAGCTTGTGCATCAGCCAGTGATCCAGCTATGCAGCAGAATATTCGATCGTGCACCTGAATGAGCTTGTTGATGGTTTTGGATGACACATAAGACCTATAGGTAAAGGTTATGTTTAGGTTTTTTTATTCTAATTGTGTGGGTTACTATGAGGGTGGTGAACTATTATTTGAATAATACTTACTCTCCCATGGAAGCTCTGGAGTCAGACCCAATGATGACTCCGCCATTGAACTTGACTGCAAGAATGGTGGTCTAACAAGTAAATAGTTAATTTAAAAAGAGTTAATTAACAGATACACTTAGTACTTTTATAATTGTATACAGAATATTTATTATACTGTGGTTTATATGCTACAATAATAAAAAATAATTATTATAAAAATGAACAGATTTATTATTCAATATGAACACATCTAAATAAATAATTGTTCACATAAATCCCTAGCTCTTACTGTACTTCATGCTATAAAAACTTAGCATTGCAATTACACTCACTGGCCACTTCATTAGGTACACCTTACTAGTACCGGGTTGGACCCACTATTGCCTTTAGAAATGCCTTAATCCTCCATGGCATAGATACAGCAAGTTTCTGGAAATATTCCTCTGAGATTTTGGTCAATATTGACATGATAGCATCACACAGTTGCTGCAGATTTGCCGGCTGAACATCCATGATGCAAATCTCCCATTTCACCACATACCGAAGGTGCTCTATTGGATTGAGATTTGGTGACTGTGAAGGCCATTTGAGCACAGCGAACTCATTGTCATGTTCAAGAAACCAGTCTGAGATTATTCACGCTTTATGACATGGCGCGTTATCTAGCTGGAAGTAGACATCAGAAGATGGAAACTGTGGTCATAAAGGGATGGACATGGTCAGCAACAATACTTTGGTAGGCTGTGGCGTTGACACAATGCTCAATTGGTAATAATGGGCCCAAAGTGTGCCAAGAAAAAATCCCCCACACCATTACACCACCACCAGCCTGAACCATTGATACAAGGCTGGATAAATCCATGCTTTCATGTTGTTGACGCCAAATTCTGACCCAACCATCCGAATGTTTCAGCAGAAATTGAGACTCATCAGACCTGGCAAGGTTTTTCCAATCTTCTGTTGTCCAGTTTTGGTGAGCCTGTGTGAATTGTAGCCTCAGTTTCCTGTTCTTAGCTGACAGGACTGGCACCCAATGTGGTCTTCTGCTGCTGTAGCCCATCCGCCTCAAGGTTGGACGTGTTGTGTGTTCAAAGATGCTCTTCTGCATACCTCAGTTGTAACGAGTGATTATTTGAGTTACTCCTGCCTTTCTATTTGCTGGAACCAGTCTGGCCATTCTCCTCTGACCTCTGGCATCAACAAGGCATTTGCGCCCACAGAACTGCCGCTCACTGGAGATTTTCTCTTTTTTTGACCATTCTCTGTAAACCCTAGAGATGGTTGTGTGTAAAAAACCCAGTAGATCAGCAGTTTCTGAAATACTCAGACCAGCCCATTTGGCACAAACAACCATGCCACCTTCAAAGTCACTTTAATCATCTTTCTACCTCTTTCTGATGCTTGGTTTGAACTGCAGAAGTTCATCTTGACCAAGTCTATATGCCTAAAGTCATTGAGTTGCTGCCATGTTATTGGCTCATAAGAAGTTTGCGTTTAATAAGAAGTTGGACAAGTGTATCTAATAAAGTGGCCAGTAAGTGTATACAATGACTAATAAAAATGTTCAGGATTAATAAATGCTTATTTTAAGACAGGATTAAGAAACTATTTCAATGAATGTGCTTAGATGAGATTTAGAGACATCTATTGTCAAAGGAAAACGAATTAAAGTGAAGAGGCTGACTTTTTTTTACCTACAGCTTTACTATTACTTTATTTGTGCATAATAATCTCAGAATTTATGCAAGAGTAAATAACTATTGATCCCTCCTTAAAGTTATTTCAAATCCTAATGAATGGTACCATATTTAGCCTTTAACTATGAAAGTGAAAGTAACTTTTAGCTACGTTAAACACCTAAACCAATCCCCAAAAACACACTGTAAAATAATTTAAACATGTATCTAATCATAATGTTTCGTTTGATAAGACAAACATCACCTGTCTGGTCACCGACGCGTATTTTTCTTTTTTGCGTCAGGTTCCCAAACAACACGCTGCAGAGGATTTTAGTCATAAATAGCATACTTACACCAGTGCTGACCCCATTAACTTGAGAGTATGGATGATGTCTGTCCATTATTATTGCAAATTCGACATACAAAATTGTGGATAAAGGCTTCCCGTACGCGTCGCTCGACTGGAAAGCCACGCTCTTCAGTCTGAAACAGCAAACCGTGTGGTCGCAAGGCGCATTACATTTCAACAACATTTAACATTTCCCGATCAGATTCTGGACATGGCACTTACGTCTCACGTCCTCGAGCCCTCTTTATGTGGCTTTAACTTCGAAAACGCCACAAGGTAAGACATAAGTAGGCTTGATGCTGTTATGTCATGATAATTTTGTGTATAAAATGTAGTAAACGCACCCAGTATTGTTGGTGATTTAATGTTGGTAGCCGGAACAAAAGCGAAACCATTTTCTGACTTTCAAATATTTTTCCTCACAAAACGTACTGCGTGTTTTATGCAGTATTCGTCTTTATGGCTACGTTATGTTATTTAAAAGTTTTTACATTATCTCCTGCTTTATTCAACCTCTTATATCTCCTCCTCTTAGAAATATTGTACTGGAAAATGGTGCAGAAGAGGGGAAAATCAAGCCACCAAAAGCCTTAAAAACAGGCACAACCATTGCTGGAGTGGTATTTAAGGTAACTAAAAACCAAACACATAATAAGTTGTATTAATAAACAAATATTACAAGCAGTAACTGTGTGTGTGTGTGTGTGTGTGTGTGTGTGTGTGTGTGTGTGTGTGTGTGTCTTTAGGATGGTGTCGTTCTGGGAGCAGACACAAGAGCCACCTCTGATGAAGTAGTTGCTGATAAAATGTGTGCCAAGATTCACTACATTGCACCTAACATATAGTAAGGATTAAAGATCAATTACAGTAGTTATAAAAGAGTATAACAAGTTGAATTTTAAATGTTTGTAGATAACTTATTGAATAAATAATAATAAAAATTCTGTTCTTAGTTGTTGTGGAGCGGGAACAGCTGCGGACACGGAGAAGACAACAGATATGCTGTCATCAAACCTCACCATTTTCTCGATGAACAGCGGCAGGAACCCAAGAGTCGTTATGGCAGTAAACATAATACAAGACATGCTCTTCAGGTGTGTGTTCACCTGTAACCACGTGCACAGACTTATTCACACTGTGTTTAATCTCAAGATATTGTCCTTAACACCACTTATAGAAGCAGGGTTAGCACTGTTTTCGTACCTAAGGTTATGAGAACCTGGAACCTGTTAATCGCACATTACAGTGACTTGACTTCAATTTTGCAACATATGCATTTTAAACTATATATTGAATAGATAAGTTTATTATTTATCTTTGCTGTCAAATTGACACTGTCAGGGAAGTAAAAGCCATACCAGAGTGGAAGCACACTTTCAGAGTTTGATTAAAGACAAACACATTTTTTTATTAGGTTTACTAAAAAATAAATAATATCAGTTTAGATTTCTTGTGAATTGTGAAGACTGTGGCTTATGATTTTGATTAAATAAATATGGATATCCTTATCTTTATGAATTAAAATATAAATTTTAGTGGAAAACACTGAATCACGATTGAGAACATGTCTGCTGAATCGAAGAAGAAACCGCTCTATTTAAAAAAAAATAAATTACATGTAAAATGTTAGCAGGTTGAATACTGCTTTCATCCAATCCATCACACTGACATATTAATTATGCAAAAAGGCTGTTCTTATAGCATTGTTGAACACACAATGTGAAAACCAGTGTAAAATCCAAGATAAACTGCTCCGTTTATGTTGTGAGTAGGCCCACAAGGAATCTGTACAGACGGAAATCTGCAGATTTCCACAGGTTCTGAGCACATCATTTAATTCATGTTTAGTTTTTTTTTTATTTTTTTTTTACATATGTAGGTGTTTAAATACATATTTATTAAGTTTTATATTAATTTCAGTAATAATATTGAATAATATGCAAATGTTTATATGATTTATGTGCAATACAGTTTGTAAAGTAAGTTTCTGTCTTTTAGCGGATATTTTAAATTAAACTTACTTTGTTTACCAAACAAGTGGTTCTAATTAGATTTGCATTGTAAGCCTTAAAAATTAAAAAGTTAAATATTTTTTATGTCATGTTATAAGATTTAGTTACTATACTCTCAACATCATTTCACATAAATTTGCAGATTGTGTACAAAATTATGGGCAGAAATAGCAAAAAAATGTCAGCAGATTCTGTATGGCACTAGTCATGAGCAATGTGAAATGTGAAGGGAGGTAGCCAAAGTTTCATTTATCTGGAGTTTAGGATGACCAGAGGTTAACTAGTCCAAATGAAAAGAGCCATGTTGTGTATATAAGTGTGTTTTTTTATTTCTGTACTATAAAATACATCTAAGTTTCTCATTGGTGACATCATTAATCATATAAAACAATACTGTACATTTTTTGTACTCCTTTCTCAGGTATCATGGTATGATTGGAGCTAATCTAATTTTAGGAGGCGTTGATTGCACTGGCAGTCACTTGTACACAGTTGGTCCTTATGGGAGCATGGACAAGGTGCCATATCTGGCCATGGGTACGCAAGATGCAACTGTTGTCTGATAAACCCTTATTAAACACTCAACACTAGCTATATCTTGAATATGAAAACTTGTTTAGATTGATTTTACAAACAACTGCTCAAGGGAACTCATGCATCTGTGTTTCTCCTGTTTTTAGGATCTGGTGATCTGGCTGCCATGGGCATACTGGAGGACAGATTTAAAGTAAACATGGATGTAAGTTGGATTTATCTACTTGTAAGATTTCTAATATAATCCCATTAGGCTCTGGGCCATGACAAATGAGTGAGGTTGCGTTTGTCACTTTCCTGGTGTTATTGGCAATTCAAATTTGCCAATCAAATTATGCTTGCATTACTCTTCCTACTTTAATTTTATATCATTTTTTACTTAAGAACCTTGAAATATTACCCTTTTTATTTCATGGATGTGCACTAAATGTCATTCTTGTCTTTAGCTGGAGCAGGCGAAGGCTCTGGTAAGTGATGCCATCCAAGCTGGCATCATGTGTGACCTGGGATCTGGAAACAACATTGACCTGTGTGTCATTACAAAAGAGGGGGTGGACTATATCAGACCTCACAAAGAGTCCCCTTATAACTACAAGAGGTAGAAAACCTTGTCATCTTTTTATTTATTTTTCTGGTCACACATTGTACTATACAACTCACATGCATTAACTGCATATATTTAAAAGTTGATGATATTTAGTTTGATGTTTGACGTTGGTAATTTATTGATTCCTTTCTATCATTGTGTTACAGACAAGCCAAGTATAAATATAAATCAGGTACAACACCAATTTTAACTAAAACCGTGAATAAGCTCGAGCTGGACTTGGTGCAGGAGACTGTTCAGATGATGGAAACATCTGCATCAAGTTGATCCGAGTCATACACCATGATGTCTGGAATGAGGAAGAGGGATCCTTTCAACTCAACTGCTGACAAACAGATGATGCCATTATGTTTGTTGTTTGTGTTCTTAATTCCATCACTGGTAGACCTGTGCAGATAATTATCAATAAACCATTACATTTTACAGTATATACACTGCAAAGCCTTTTTATTGCTTAAAAAAACACTCCAGGAACATGGTCTGCATTGTTGATGCTAATGCTTATTTGACATTCCTAAATAATTGAATAAAGCCTAATATTATTTCAGAACAGTAATGAAAAAGTAAAAATACATCTGTAAAATGTATTATGCAAAACTGAGTTGTGTAAATATGTGTAGGTATTTTATAATGCAGTTTTCATAAATTTAACAACACAAGATTATGGCCAAATATCTCCACTGTGGTCTCATCTGTAAAAATATTGTTCTATAATCTTATGGTTTGTTCAAATGACACTTTGCAAACTGAAACTGCTGCCATGTTTTTATTTTTTATAGAAAAGAAATTTCTTTTCACAACCTTTTTAAACATACCATAGTTTTCCCATCTTTTCTAAATGTACTGATCTTGAGCATGATAATTTAAATGTTAACTGAGGTCTTTAGAGTTTGTGGGGAAGTTTTGTCTGGCAGTTCAGTGTGCTTTACACCGTTTGGTCTTGGGATTAACTTGCTGTTAAAAATAAATGTGTTTACTCTTTAAAAAAATATTTTATTACACAAGTAATAACACATTAATATACGATTACTCATTAATTTTTTTTCCGCTTAGTCCCTTTATTAATCTGGGGTCTCCTCAGCAGAATGAACCGCCAACTTATCCAGCATATGTTTTACACAGCGGATGCCCTTCCAGTTGCAACCCAACACTGGGAAAATAATTGATTATGTTATAATAAAATAATAATATTTCTTTTTCACTCGTTTATTTATTTCCTCATATGGAAAACCATGAATTTCAAGAGATTGTCCTATACTTTCACATGACTGCTTACATAGATTCAGGCTTATTAAATAGATTAATTCCTATATGGTACACATTAGGCAAGTGATATCCTAAATCTAGGCCTTTGTAAAAGTACATTTTTGTACTTTTATCTAGCAAAGAAAAAGGCCAGTCAGTGCCTTTAAGACATCTAGTAATAACAAAGTCTGATAGCCAGTATTTTAAGTTAATTTAGGCTTGTTTACACGCATATCTTGTGAAAAATGTTATGCTTCCGCATCTTTTTCACCTGGTTTAACCTACATCAGTTAAATCTACATAGAGACTGAAGACGACGAGAGAGACTCCCTCACTCCCATTGGTCAACCCATCTGCAGAGTTTTCCCTCAGACAATCACTAAGTTATCATGTTGTTTGTAGATACTCTTAAACAACATTTAATAACCTAAAAGACAACATTTATGTACACCTGTTATTCAAAGATATAGATTATGCTTTTAGTTTGTTTTTAAAGATACTTTCTGGTCGTTATCGAAACCAAATTAAGCTTCTCTGAATCTTTCGGTTTCGAAATCGTTGTCTTCCGTGCATGGATCGTATTTCCTTCATGTAAAATAGCCTAATACACTTTGGTTACTTCGCTTTTAGTGTTTTAATTACTGCCATTAGCTGTGCGTAACATACAGGATGGCTCTTTTGGACGTAAGTGGATATAAATATAATTCCGCCTCACAGTTTGGCTTT